TCAGGTAAACAGAAAAGTCATTGGGGGTCAGATCAGGTGAGTAGGGAGGGTGTTCCAGTACCCATTTGTTTACTGGCCCAAAACTCCTTCACAGAGAGTGCTGTATGAACTGGTGCATTGTCCTGATGCAAGAGCTCCCTTGGGACCATTTTTGCACACACCTTTCTCATCCCAAAATTTCCAGTTGTTTTCCTGTTTCTCTCTCGATGTTTATTTGGTCTGCTATGCTTATCACAGTTTGACGAATTTTTGCAATGTTTTCGTCAGTTCCGTTTGTTGCTGGCCATCCTGACCTCTCTTCATCAGTGATATTTTCTCTGAAAAATTTTTCTCTAAAAAATGTTTAATCCATTTGTACACTGATGTTTTCTTCATGACATTATCCCCGTAAACTTGGACTAATATGTCCCTGATTTTACTACCACTCTTGCCAAATGTAACAAGACATTTAATGTTTGTTCATTGTCCTAATTCAAACTCATAGTAATTCTATGTGCTGGCATTGGTGCATAGCTTTCCAAGGGGAGTACTTCGCCATATTATACAAATTCACATCTTAATTTTTGTTGCTATACAATTTTTATGTATTGATCTTCTATTCAGTCGTCTTGCTACATTCACTTATTTTAATAGTTTGCCTACTGATACCCGTCCTGTCATCTATGAAAAATGACAGTTTTATTTCATCATTTACAGTCTGTATGCCTTTTGTTTTTCTTGCCTTATTTCATTAACTGGGATTGCTAGGATAGTTGATATTTTGATACTCCAATCACATCTTTTAAAAGTGATACATATTGCAGTACCCATTAAATTACCAGCAACATTCTTCTCAGACCTGGAAATGGCAATACAGGCATTCATATCGAAAAATAAATGGCCATGAATAGCCAAAATAATCCTAAGCAAACAAACAAACAAACAAATAAGCAAACAAAAAACAACAAAGTGGGAGGTATCACACTCCCAGACTTTAAACTTTATTATAATGCTACAATAATCAAAACAGCCTGGTATTGGTATAAGAACAGGCATATAGAACAATGGAACAGGATAGAGATTCTGGAAGCAAAACCTCCATTTCTTAACCAACTGATCTTTGAAAAACCTCGACCATCAACCACTGGGGAGAGGAGAACCTATTCAGTAAATGGTCCTGAGAAAATTGACTGACCACATGCAGAAGATTAAAACATGACCCCTACCTATCACCATACACAAAAATCAACTCTAAATGGATCAAAGATCTAAGTGTAAAACCTCAAATTATAAGAACCTTAGAAAATGCAGGAGAACCCTTATGGAAATTGGAACTGGCAACCAATTCCTGATCAAAACCCCAAGTTCTCATGCCATAAGATAGACAAGTGGGACCTCATCAAACTGACAAGCTTCTGTAAAGTCAAAGAAACCATCAAGTGAGCAGGGAGACAGCCTACAGACTGTGAAAAAATATTTGCCAACTGTATGCCTGACAAAGCCCTAACATCTAGGATTTACAAGGAACTCAAACATGCTGAAAAGAAGAAAACAAACAGCCCCATTACAAAGTGAGCAAAAGATATGAATAGACAGTTCTCAAAAGAAGACATACGAGCAGCCAACAGATACATGAAAAACTGCTCAGTCTTACTAGTCATCAAAGAAATTCAAATTAAAACCACACTGAGATACCACCTAACTCCAGTCAGGATGGCCATCATCAATAACTCAAAAAACAATAGATGCTGGAGAGGATGTGGGGAAAAGGGAACACTTCTACACTGTTGGTGAGAGTGCAAACTAGTACAACCTCTGTGGAAAACAGTGGTGATTCCTAAAAGATCTAAAAATCAACCTTCCATATGACCCCTCAATCCCCCTGTTGGTAATATACCTGGGGAAACTCACATCACTCTATGAAAAATATACCTGCACACACATGCTTATTGCAGCATTATTCACAATAGCAAAAACATGGAACAAATCGTGCTGCCCATCAGAGGGCTGGATAAAAAAAAATGTGGTACATATACATGATGGAATATTACACAGTCATAAAGAAGAACAAAATTATGATCTTTGCAGCAACCTGGATGGACTTAGAGTCTATCAGAGAAACAAAGAACTGAGTACCACATGTTCTCACTCATAAGTGGACCTTGGACAATTAACATAATACTATAAGAAAGGGATTAGCGGTAGTGGGAAAATGCCAGGGGAGGGGGGAGGCACACCTCATCAACAAGAGTACTTGCATAATGAACATTTGCATACTTAACCCTGAATTGTACTCCACATCTTTAAAATTAAAAATAAGAAAATAAAGTTATACTTACTTTTCCTCAGTATTTTTATTTCATTATATGATGTCTTTTTAGGACTTCCACTTCAATTAAATTTTTTCTCCTTTATTCAACTTATTACCTCAATACCTTTTTTGGGTGGGGGCTGGGAACTATGCCATCTCCTTTCATTCACCGTGATTCAAAGCTTCAGAGCCCTCTGAAATTCTCTTGTCTCATACCTCAGATCAGTTGTATTGGCTCTGTTATGTCTCTTTTTTCTGCTTCCATCTCATCGCTGCCCTCTATTAGGGACTTTTCTTGTCTTTTTGTACCCTCTGTGCTCTCCAATGCTTCTTCCACTTGGGTATGGTTTGATTATCTCAGTTCTTTTAAAACCCATAAATAGCCTCTTAGAGAAGAAAAAGTTAAATTGGTGTTTCATAATTTGGCATTCTTTATTTTATTTTATTTTTTTTATAATCAATATTTTTTATTATGGTTTTGTGGGGTACAGTTAAGGGTTAGGTGTACAATTACGTTTCATTCAGGCACCCTGTTGATAAGAGGTGTTTCCCCATCCCCAGACAGATATTTGCTACTGTTAATCCCATCCCCCCCATAGTTTCCTAGTACCGTCAGTCATTTTCTTATAGTATTACATTGGATGTTCAAGGTCCATTATATGAGTGAGAACATGTGATACTCGGATCTTTGTTTCTGTGAGAGATCACTCAGTATTATAGATTCTAGTTCCATCCAGGTTGCTGCAAAATTCATGATTTTGTTCTTTCTTATGATTGCGTAGTATTCCATCGTGTATATGTACCACATTTTTAAAATCCAGCCCTCTTTTGATGGGCAGCATGGTTGGTTCCAGGTTCTTGCTATTGTGAACAATGCTGCGATAAAGGCATTCTTTAACTTGCCATTCAAGATCTAGAGAGACCATAGAGCCTGGTGATCAAAACATGGATTCAGGAGCATATTGCCTTGACTTGAATTCTTACCACCCACTTACTTAATTGGATGATCTTGAACTTATCTTTTACCTTTCTCTACTTGATTTCCTCATCTAAAATAGTCATATTATCTACCTTATGGGGTTGCATGTGGATTAGATGGGTTAATATATGTAAAACACTTTGCATAGTCACCTAATAAACTTTATGAACATCGATTTCATTAGTATTTTATCAAAACTTTTCTCTCCACTAGTAATATTGACAACAAATTATAGCCAGCATTTATTAACCACTTACTGTGAAACACTTTACTTGCACTATCTAATTTAATGTATAATTCTGTGTTGTAAGTATTATGGTGTTAGAAAAAAAATGATCAATGACTTATTTTCTGACCCTTTGCACTTTTACTTTTCTCAAACTTATATCTCACTTTCCTGTATCCACAACCAATCTCCCTAATTTCTCCAAGATTCAACTCTTTTTTTTGTGCTCTGTGTCAGCTTCTGTTCCAAAGTAAAATAAAATGGAATGGACACAAAATTTGATTCAGAGTTCTTAAGAGCACTGTAAAATAAGAGTGATAATTTCTTTCTCTTGTAGGATCTAAAGACAGCCTTACACTAGTGAGTTAGACTTTTCCAGCCCTTTCATTAACCAGGTTGATTCTTTACAAACCGACTACACTGACCCTCTGGCTCTTTTTGCAGTTTCAAGACAGCCTCAACTTGGTTCTTCCAAGTGCCTCATCAGACTGAGCTGAGTTAGTGCAGAGATTTCAGCCAAGTAAGGCATCTCAGCACGAGGTGTCAAACATAAGACAGCTAAGCTGGGAGCCAGAGGAAGAAGGCTGTTCTTGACCCTGCTCTGAGACTAGTGCATTCACAAAGAAGTGGCTGGCAGGCTTCCTTTGATGCAGTGAACAATGAACAGCAGGGATTAAATCTCATCACTTCCACATCATGCTGGTGTGTGTGTGTGTACACACATACATACATTTCATTCTTAGCAGAAGACAGTGTGGAGAGTTTGTGATCTATTATTTGAAAATAATCCATAACCCATCCAGGATCACAACCGAGAAGAGAGATCCTACAGCTGGGCAACAGTAATGGTTGAGCCAGGACTCCTTAGAGATCATTATACGTGTCAGGAAATTGAGGACAAATAAAGATAATAAGTTGCTTATATGTTTGTGTTTGATCTATTTACTCATTATCCCCTGATGTGGATAGTTGGATCCGAGGTTCACAAAACATAGTTGCATTTAAAGTCTTCAGTGAGTCTTTCTTGAATGAAATAATAGTGATATACTATTGAAGATCATCTTAAATGAAATAATGATGCCCTTACAAACTAGGTGACTGATAAAGACATAACCCTCCTCTTCACAGTTTCTATAACTCACAGATTTTTTGGACAAAGTTTCTCATTCTGGTAATTTCTAGGCTAGGAATCACATGTTTGGAGCTATAGACTTGTTAGCACAGTGTTAAAGATTAACATGTAGAGTTTAAATTTTTAAGTAGGATATATTCTTAAATTGCTACAGATTAGCATTACCTACATAGTCTCAAACCAGGTTGGTTTTTTTAATTTATAAGATTATTGGTCCCAACTGGCCCCAGGAGGAATATGTATTTGTGACTCCTACTCTAGATACATTTTATTGTTTGTAGCAACCATAGAATAACCAAATCTGAGACTTTCGAACTCTGGGTCATGTGACTATAAAACTTGATTTTTAAAGTTTGTTAAAAGTTGGAATACGGAGCAACGCCACCGTCGACCCCAGCGCGGCGGGCCCGGGCCCCAGCGGAGGGCCGGGCGGCGGCGGCACCGAGGTCATCCAGGTGACAAACGTCTCCCAGAGCGCGAGCTCCGAGCAGATGCGGACGCTGTTTGGGTTCCTGGGCAAGATCGACGAGCTGCGCCTCTTCCCGCCGGATGAGTCACCTTTGCCAGTCTCATCTCGTGTCTGCTTTGTTAAGTTCCATGATCCGGACTCAGCAGTTGTGGCACAGTATCTGACAAACACTGTATTCGTTGACAGAGCTTTGATAGCCGTACCATATGCAGAAGGAGTTATTCCTGATGAGACTAAGGCTTTGTCTCTGTTGCCACCAGCTAATGCAGTGGCAGGTCTTCTGGCTGGTGGTGGACTCCTGCCTACTCCTAACCCACTTACCCAGATTGGCGCTGTTCCACCGGCTGCTTTGGGAGCTCCCACTCTTGATCCTGCCCTTGCTGCACTTGGGCTTCCTGGAGCTAACTTGAACTCTCAGTCTCTTGCTGCAGATCCGTTGCTGAAGCTTATGAGTACTGTTGATCCCAAGTTGAGTCATGTGGCTGCTGGTCTTGTTTCACCAAGTCTGAAATCGGATACCTCTAGTAAAGAAACAGAGGAAGCTATGAAGAGAGTCCGAGAAGCACAGTCCCTGATCTCTGCTGCTATAGAACCAGATAAAAAAGAAGAAAAAAGAAGGCAATCAAGATCAAGATCACCTTCTAGGAGGAGAAGGACTCCCTCATCTTCAAGACACAGGCAGTCAAGAAGCAGATCAAGGAGGCGATCCCCTTCTAAGTCCAGGAGTAGGCGACGATCCAAAAGTCCAAGACGGGGAAGATCTCATTCCAGAGAGAGAGGTAGAAGGTCAAGGAGCACATCAAAAACCAGAGACAAAAAGAAAGAAGACAAAGAAAAGAAACGTTCCAAAACACCACCAAAAAGTTACAGCACAGCCAGACGATCTAGAAGTGCGCGCAGAGAGCGACGACGCAGAAGCAGCAGGAGTGGAACAAGAGCTCCTCAGAAGCTTCGGTCTCCTGAGAGAAAATGATCTCGCTCACCATCGCCAAGGCGACACAAAAAAGAGAGAAAAAAAGATGAAGACAAAGAAAGACGTAGAGATGAAAGAGAACGGTCAACGAGCAAGAAGAAGAAGAGTAAAGATAAGAAAAAGGACCGGGAAAGAAAGTCAGAGAGTGATAAAGATGTAAAACAGGTGACACGGGATTACGATGAAGAGAAGCAGGGGTATGACAGCGAGAAAGCGAAAAAAAGAAGAGAAGAGACCAATAGCAGTAGGTTCCCCTAAAGCAAAAGACAGTTCTGTGGAAAAGGCAACGTGCGATTCTCTGAGGGAGTCCAAAGAGAATGGGGATGACCATCACGAAGAAGACATGGATATGAGTGCCTGAGTGCGGCCTTGGTGGGGTCCAGCTGTAGAAGTGCATCAGTGCCATTCCTTCGTGTGACTTCTTCACGCTGTTTGTTCATCTCCAACCTAGGTGTATACAGCGCTGAGTGATACACGGTTACACAACTCCTGGTAGTGATTTTAGTTGTCGACATCCAAAAGCTTTTAGAAAACGTTGCAGGGGTAACCAGTTCTCGTCATGGTGAAATCTGATTGAATACATAAGCAGTTGGACTATTCCGGTGCTGCTTTTCATCACAAAGCTGAAAAGCTGCATGCATCTACAGCAGGCATGGATTGTTTATGTTGTATGATCTCCTTTATCAAGTAAGCTCACGCATAGTATTTCTAGCATTTGACTCATTGCCGTACTAGAGCCATGTAGGGAATGCACTGATTGCATGTTATTGTGGCCAGAATATCCTAAATGTCATTAAAATCCTCCAACATGATGGATCTACTATCGTCTGGTTTGTGGACATGATAAATTAACCTCCTTATAGTTACACCTGGAAACGAGCGTTTGAAATACATAATCTTTTAAGCCTTGTGGCTAAATTTTTGTGACTTTTGTTTAACTTTGAAAGGTTATATATGCGTTAACCTTTTTTTGATGGCTAATTGGGGTTTAATGCATAAACAAGATTTCAGATAAAACTGTCTTTGACAGTGAGTAAATAGCAGCATATTTTGAAGTAGAGTTATATACTTTTTCATGAGGTGTTTGGGAATTTTTTTTCCTGAAATAATAATTTATTCCACGTCTACAATAGTGAAGCCGTCTACCTATCCTGGGTCCATCTTGGGGGAAAAAATTATCGCTTGTCCGGATTTTCAGTTTTCTACTCGTTCATTAATTTGTTTTAAGCTCTGTGTTGGAAAAAGGGGAGGATAGTGCATTTTTAATTGACCTTCATATGCTTTTACTATAAATCTACTTGATAATGTACCTTTTATTTGATCTCAAGTATAAAACCAATAAATTTGTATTCCTATTATGCAGTAGTAATCTTATGCACACAGTGATCTCATGTTAATATGCAAAGTAGTTGGGCAACTGTTTTCCTAGTTACAGGAGTTTCAAGCTTCACTTTTGTGCAGTAAAAACAAAAGTAGGCTATGGTCTGTGCCATGTTGATGTACAGTTTCTGAAATTGTTTTACAAGACTTTGATAATGAAACCCTTAAACTCATGTTCATGTTCCTGTAAAAAAAAAGAAAAAAAAAAAGTTGGAATACTTTCTTTAAAGATAATCACGAGCAGACTTTGAATATATGCAGCTGATAAATTGCAGCATTCTATTTGAAGGTGTATTATGGAGGGTAAGTGGATGAGAATGGGAGGGCTGAGAATAGTACTGTATAATTTGGGTTCTTTATGGGCCTCTGAGGTGCTACTGTAGAAAGTAAGGCTCTGAGGTACACAGTTTGAAAACCTTTTTCTTCAGATCAGAAGACTGAGGCCTGGATATTGTGTGGACAAATTGTCAGGCAAGGTTCTCCCTCGGGTCAGTGCATTAAAATCTTGCTTACTATGTTAAATTTGCTTATTTATTTTAATTTTTTCATTTTAAAATGTGGGGTACAATTCAGGGTTATGTATACAAATATTCATTATGCAGGAGCCCTTGTTGATGAGGTGTGCTCCTCCCTCCCCTGATAGTTTCCCTCAACTGCCAATCCCACCCCCTCCCCTGGCAGTTTCCCACCTCTGTCAATCCCTTTCTTATAGTGTTATAATTGTTCACGGTCTGCTTATGAGTGAGAACATATGGTACTCTGTTCTTTGTTTCTGTGGTAGATCACTGAGTATGATATACTCTAAATCCATCCAAGTTGCTGCGAAGTCCATGTTTGTCCTTCTTTATGGCTGCATAATATTACATTGTGTATATGTGCACATTTTAAAAAATCCAGTCTAGCTAAGATGGGCAACATAGTTGAGTCCATGTTTTTGCTATTGTAAATAGAGCCGAAGTAAACATGCTTGTGCAGGTATCGTTTTAGTAGAACAACTGGGTATATTCTCAGTAGGGGGATTGTTGGGTATATTCTCAGTAGGGGAATTGTTGGGTCATATGGAAGGTCAACTTCTAGTTCTTTCAGAAATCACCACACTGTCTTCCAAAGAGGTTGCACTAGTTTGCACTCCCATCAGCAGTATAGAAGCTTTTCTTTTTCTCTGCATCATTGCCAGCATCTGTTAAATCTACTTTAAAAGTAGCTCTATACATCTTCAAAAATCATGAGATTTAATTACCTAAGGATCAATTAAAATTTTTCAACATAGTAATAATTTATAATTGCATAATTTATTTTAAAATTAATTTATTAATGTAAATGTACTTGATTTTATAACTTATTTTATTTCTACATTAACTTAATTATTTCATTACATTTGATATATAAATTTTCTTTTTATTTTTCCTATGGAATGTAATGTCATAATAATCACATTGGAGGCTGTAGATCGGCAGTATCTGCACATACCGTGTTGGCATTCTCAAGTTTCAATAATCCGTTATCATAGAAAGATCGTGAGAAGTGTGTGCAAGAAAGTCAGTTTGAAGTTAGAATCAATAGGTTGGGTGCAGAGGTTCACGTCAGTAATGGCAGCATTTTGGGAGGCCGAGGTGAGAGGGCTGCTTGTGCCCAGAAGTTGGAGACCAGTTTCGGCAACAGAGTAAACGGCATCTCTGCAAAAAATTTAAAAAAGCAAAACAAAAATAAGAAACCATGCATGAGGGTGCATGCCTATAGTCTCAGCTGAGGAGGCTGAGGCAGAAGGACCTGAAAAGGCTGAGGTGGAAGGATGACCTGAGCGCAGGAGGTCGAGGCTGTGGTGAGCTGTGTTCTAGTCTGGACAACTGAGTGAGACCCTAACTCAAAAAAAAAAAAAGAAAAAAGAAAAGAAAAAGAAAAGAAATTAAAATATATGTTCTTCTATCTATGTGACCTTCAGAAAAGTATTATTCTTGCCAAATTTATTTTATCATTCTAAATTATTTTAAATTGACAAATAATAATTGTGTATATTAATGGGGTACAATGTAATGTTTTTATCTATATATACATTGTAGAAAGAGTCAACCAACCTAATTAACATATCTATCACCTCCATCACCTCATTAACTTATTACTTTTTTATGGTGGAAATGTTTTAAATGTATTATTTTTAATACCCATCATCTTTGGGAGTATTCTGATTGTTAAATTATGTAATGTCATTCAGAACTTACTCAGGCAATAAAAGTTATTTCCACCATGCATATACCTTAATTATAAGAGACAATTAATTGTCATAGCCATTTAGGCACTCAGAAAATGTTTGTGAATGATGAATAAATATTACTGAAACATGAAGAATGTGACTTATCTTCACACTCAAGCAGTTTGTACAACTAACAATTTTTCTATTCTCAAAATAAAGGGTAGTGGTGGGGAAAGAATCTGTGAATTTCTGCCTGGCATGGTATAGGCATATTGCAGACCAAAGGAGGCTATCTCAGAGGAAGGAACCCTTTCTAAATAGAAAAAGAAAAAAAAGAAGATGAAAGATCTTTCTTTCAACAAAGAACTGCTAGTACTTAACTTGTCAGGGCAGGATTTTGAAAAACAGCATTCCCAAGTATACCTTTGTAAAAAGCCTTAAAAAGAAGCAATGCAAACCTGGTCCCTACTAGCCTTTTATTATTTCTCATTGATAATGGCTTGCAAGAGCCTCATTTTATAAAACTCAATACACTACTGTGAACATGAAAAGCAAACCTGCTTTCATAAAGCTGATGTTCCATTGGGTAAGTGAGGGCTCAATGATAGCCTAGGCCAATTATAGATTCTGGCTGTGTCTGACAGTATCCAAACAAGAGAAGGAAACACAAAATTCACCCCAAACACAAATGCTTCTTTAAAAAGAAAGAATAAACTCTTGCTTATGTTGAATGCAATCATAAAGCACATATAGCTGAAACCTTTCTTCCCTTACATATGCCACTTTTATGAGAAAGAAAAACATCTGATCAGAATACTAAAATTTTTGAACTGTACAACAATTACTGACATTTCCAAAGATAATCTGGCTAGATTCTTAAGCAACTTGTAAATTATCAAAAGATGTTTACATAGTCTGAAAGTTGATGGTTCATTAACTTATTCTTCAACTATTCATCAAATATTCAGATGCCAGGTACTGCTCAATTGGCTGGTGATACAGGACTGAACAGAGCAAAATCTTTCTTTCATGGAACTTATATTCCAGAAAGAGTAATTGAAAACTAGTTTCTAGGCATATTGGAAAGAGTATTAAGCTGGGTAATAGAAGATCTTTAGAGTAATGCTAGTTCTTGTTACATCGTAGGTACTTAATATTTGTTTACAGAGTTAGGTCTGCTACTCTTTTGTTCTGTGACCTTGTGCAAATCAATTTGCATTAAGTTACCCACCATCATAAATTATGGAAATGGAACAAAGCAGTTGATAGGGAAATGTTCAATTTTATTATTTTAAAAATCTGATCTGATATTTAATGGAATTTATAGACACAAATGACTGATTATTTAATTACCCTGTCCCGCTTCAAACTGACCTTTTGGCTTAGGGTGAGGGGACCTGGCCCATGCTCCCTGTCTCTCCCTTTATAGTGTGTGTCCTTCATTCAACTCTTCCCACATCTGTGTTCCGCTTCAGAATGTCACTCCCAAGAGCTGATGCAATGTCTTCTTCACCATCATATTCTCCACCACCCATCCAGTGTCTGGGGCACATTCAGGAGATACTGGTTGAGTGAATGCACATGGATGGGTCAATTCATGTTTTCTTTGCTGGTTTTCTCTGTGTCCTGCAGGTGTCAGAGGA